AAGAGAAAGTGGGGGTGAGTGAGCATCATCTATGAAGTGGACAAAAGAGGATTGAACATGCATACAGAGTTTGGTGTAGAAATACATCAAATTCGGGGCAGCTAGGTGGCGCAGTGGATAGAGCATCAGCCCTGGATTCAGGAGGACCTGACTTCAAATCCAGCCTCAGACACATAACACTTACTAGCTATGTGACCCTGGGCAAGTCACTTAACCCCATTGCCTAACCCCCCCCCCCAAAAAAGAAAGAAATATATCAAATTCATTGGGGAAACATGCAGGACTTGGGAAAAGACAGTTAAGAGGGAAGAAAATACTGGGAAGAGATTAGCTGAAAGCAAAACAAACATTCTGATCCCAAGGGGCAGATTAAAAGGAAAGGACTAGAAACTAAAGCGGTACCCATCAATTGGGAAATGGCTGAACAGATTGTGATATATGAATAAATGAAATATTATTTTGTCATAAGAATTGCCAAAAGAGAGAATTTCAAAGAATTCTGGAATTTAAAAACTAATACAGAATGAAGTGAGAAGAATCAGGAGAGTAATTTCTACAGTGACAATGCTTAATTCTAATTCCAGGGGCAGCTAGGTGGCACAGTGGATAGAGCATCAGCCTTGGATTCAGGAGGACCTGAGTTCAAATCCGACTCAGACACACAACACTTAACTAGCTGTATAACCCTGGACAAGTCACTTAACCCCAATTGCCTTAAAAAATAAAAATAAAAAAAAATCTTTAATTTTAATTCCAAAGGGCTGATTAGAAGGGAAGAAAAGAACTAAAACTAAGAGAGTACCTACCAATTGGGGAATGGCTGAACAAAATATAGTATATTAATATAATGATATTATTTTACCACAAGAAACTCATTTCAGGGAATCCTGGGTAGTATGAATTAATAAAGTATAAAGTCAGCAAAACCAATCGAACATTTTATACAAGAAGAGAAACATTGTAAAGAAAAACAACATTGAAAGATCTAAGAATTCTTGATCAGGGGGCAGCTAGGTGGCGCAGCAAGTAGAGTACTGGCCCTAGAGTCAGGAGGACCTGAGTTCAAATTCGGCCTCACACATTTACTAGCTGTGTGACTCTGGGCAAGTCATTTAACCCTAATTGCCTTACCAAAAAAAAAAATCTTGATCAAGGAAGTGACCAGCAGACCTATGATAAAACATGTTTTCAATCTCCAGAGAGGTAATAGGTTCAAGTTGAGGAAAGAGACATACCTTTTTGGATATGGTCATTGTTTGGATTTGTTTTTCTTGACCATGCTTAATTGTTACAAGAAGTTTTGTTTTGTTTTGTTTTGTTTTTTCTCCTTTTCTGATTTTAATTGGGCAAGGGTTGGGGGAGGAGGGTCATGTATTGATTGTAATGACAAAAAAGAAAAGAAAAAAAGACAATTGAAACATTTTTAAAGGCAACGGAGTAGTATAGAAGATAGTTCAGATGCAAGCATAGACAAGCAGAACAGTTTTGAAAGGAACAGGTTGAATTTATTCTAGACTTAAAAAAAAAAAATCCCAAGCAGTATGGAAAGAGAAGGAGGAGGAGGAGGAGAAGAAAAAGAAGAATTATTATTTACATAGCACTAAAGGTCACTTTAAAGTTTGCAGAGAACGTTACAAATATTATCTCATTTTATCCTCACAACAACCATTGGTGGTAGGAGCTATTATTACCCTTAATTTACAGATTAGGAAACTGAAACTGGAGAACATTATGTGAATTGCCTAGTTTCACATAGCTAGGAAGTGTCTGAAGCTGGGTTTGAACCCATGTCTTCGTGGTTCCAAGTCCAGTACCCTGTCCACTGTGCCACCTCTTTCCATGTTTTGCTTTGTATGTGCCCAGGGTATTTTGGTGTTAAGTTCAGAATTTAAAAAAAAAATGTTAAAATTATAAAATGAGAGGATTGGACTAGATGGCCATTAAGGTCACTCCTATCTCCAACTCTATGATCCTATGACAGTGAGTATGTTGTAATGATTATTTTAAACATCTTTATTGTATTTTTAAGATTTGTGTATTGTTAAAATTGTAATAAATTATTAATTTCATTTGAAAAAAATAAACTATTGTCAATTCTGATTCATAAAAGGCTATGGCACCAGATTTTCTAAGCAACTGTTTCCAGGACATAAAAGTTTAATTGCCAGTATTTTGAGTATGTTTCTGAAGTTCTTAAGAATTCGTCAGTGCAGCAAGAACTGAGTAATCTTTCAAACTAAGTGCTCTAGGGCCATCTGCTGGGAAGATTTTGTTAGGCATAAGTGAGATAAACCAAGTGCTGTTAGCTCCTAGCCCTTCAAAGAGAAATCAGCTGGTTCCTGTTCTCTTTGTAGATGACCAGTCACCATGTTCATCCAAAGTACCTTCCATCCAGGAGCTGCAGCAGGCTTTAGTAAAAAGAATATTTTTAGAATCAGGAGACCTAGGTTCTAGCTCAAGCTCTGACCAATTTAACATGATTTGGGGTAAGTCCTTCCCTCTCCCTGGGCCTCTGTTTCCTGCTCTGTATGAGCGTGTTGTACTAAATGATCTTTAAGACCCTTTTCAATTCTTTGATGCTTAGAAAATGTTGTAGGTCAGATTTCTCCTCTGCCTCCCTTCATTTAATGAGGAAAACTGTACTTGTCCTTTGCTATTGCTATTGCCCTCACAATCCCGTTTGTTAGCTCTTAACATTGTTTGTTATACACATTTACAAACATACAAAACATGTTCTCAGAAAGCACACAAAATAAAGCAAAAGATGGGCTGCTTTGCCACTTATTTAAGTGGGGTGGGGATATAGAAGTGTAAATTCAGTAGGTAGTGGTAGGTTTGGGCTCACACTCCCTAATGCTGTGCCACCTCCCCTAAACAAACTCAGGAAATACACTTGTTTTCTTTTCTGACATCTTGGAAGGTTGGTGGCTAATAACATGAAGCTAGTCATGTGAATGGAGAAGACAATGATTGTAACTTTGGGACTTTGTGAACAGGAACAAAATGTGTATTGTTATTTAATCTCCTGTTTAGATCAGGTAAGGATGGAAACCACCTTGGACCAACTTTTTTTTTTCCCCCTATCTTTTTAAAATTGGTTTTTATGGGGAGAGAGAGGTTAGTAATAATGATACAAAAAAAAAAGCGCATCATTGAAATGTTTAAAAAATACAAGCAATAGAGCAGAAGAAAATTCAAAAGAAGACACAGACAAATCACTGTGGTTGTATTTAATGTATTTTTTAAAAGTTATATGTAATAGAGTCATAATTTTGTATAGAAGTCTCATCTTCTGGCATTTGCATATGGAAATGTCCATGTTTGTTGATGATTTTCTAATTCATATTAAAGGATGAAAAACGTATTGTTCTTGTTGGCCATTTCTCCATGTTGTAAGCATCTGGGAATATTATCTGGTAGAGTATGAATGCTTTGGCTATTTTCTTCAGATTTATAGGACCTTTACAAAATTTCTAAATCCCTAGGGAACCTATTCGCCACATGGAAATATTAGTGAATTATAAAAACCCCTAAATCAATTAGTTAATTAACAGATATTCATTAAGTGCGTACAGTGTGCCAGGCACAGTGCTTGGTGCTTAGGATATTCATAAAATGGATGAAACAATATATATTCCTAAGGAGCTTGCATTCTATGATGGAAAAGATAACAAGTGCATATATAAGTATATAGAGAATAAATATAGAGCAGTCAACTACAAGGTGTTTTGGGAGAGAGCACCCTAACAGTTGCAGGGAATCATGAAAAGCTTCATACAGAAGGTGGTGTTTGAGCTGCCTCTTAAAGAAAGAAAGACTGAGGTGAAGAGAAAGTGCATTCCAGGCAATGGAGGTCAGCTAGGATGCAAAGACCCAGAAACAGGAGATAATGCCATGTGTAAGAAACAGAGAAGGCCAATTTGGCAGGATTTCAGAGTACAGGAAGCAGGAAAGTATAATGAGGTTTAAATGCTGGGTTGTGGAACAAAGTTATAAAGGACTTTCAAAGTAAACAGAAAGTTTATATTTTATCACAGAGACAATAGGGAGCCACTGGAGTTGATTGAGTAGGGGAGTGACATGGTCAAATTTGTGCCGAAGGAAAATCACTTTGGTAGTGGTGGATGGAATAGACTGGAGTGAGGAGAGGGAACAAGGCAGTTAGGAAGCCATTGTAACAATCTGAGCTAGAGATGATGAAGCCCTGAACTAAGGTGGGTGGTTGTGAGAGCAGTCAGATGTTAGAGTTATTGTGAAGGTAGAAATGACAAGATTTAGCAATTGATTTGGGCTGATCAAATGAAAGAAACCTGTTATACATGGTTAGTACAACATCAGTTTTCATTTTTTTGAGGGGGTTGCAGGAAGGATTTGGCTATTCTCATGCTTATTCATAGGTGGGGAGAGGTTTGTTTTGTTTTTTGTTTTTTCATTTAGAGTATTATGTTTCTTTTTGTCAAAGTGGAATTAAATGCCAGGGCTAGCCCTACTGCTCACAAAACAGGTGATCTCCTTTCCTGATTCTGCTTTCTATTTTCTTTACCAACACCCTCTGTAGAAATTCAGTGTGTGAGAGTACTATGGGGGAAGTGGTCTTCTTGGGCCTTAGCTATCAGACTAGTGGCTTTGTCCTTTTCCATCCATAGCTGATCAAATGAGTTAGCATATGTGAATGAAAGAGGTACCTGAATTCTAAAGTATTGTACAAATAACAGGCCCTCCATTTATTCATCTGCAAAAGAATATGCTTAGCCTGTTTCATGGTAGCTCGACTTTTGGTCAGGTTCAGTTCAGAGTATAAATACTATATTGATATCTCAGTGGAGGTGGGCATGTATCTTTGTGCTTTTAGAGTTCTTTTCCTTTCTGAGTCTCAGTTTCCTCTTCTGTAAAATGACAATATTAATGCTTGTACCACCTACCACAAGAGTTGTTGTAAGGCAAGTACTTTTTAAAATTTAAGGCGCCATATAATTTTGAGTTATTTTTATGTCTTGCAGAAAACACCTTCTGCAGTGGTGACCATGTATCCTGGCATAGCCCTTTGGATAATAGTGAGTCAAGAATCCAACACATGCTCCTGACTGAGGACCCGCAGATGCAACCTGTGCAGACTCCTTTTGGGTTGGTTATCTTCCTCCAGGTAAAAATAGGGGAATGCTGAATCAAGTAGTGGTGCCTATATAACTTAACCACCTCCTGAAAGACAGGAAGAGAGGGAAAGGTCTACTTAGATGAGAAAGAAAGCCCAGAATTCTGGAAGCATAGCTAGTAGAAGAATAAAGGTAATGTATTTTGTCAAATATCTCTCAGAAAATCAGCAGGAAAAAGTACAGCAATTGACAATTCCCAGTCTCCCCAAGACTGGACATGCATCAGCCCCATGTGTCATGGATGATGCAGTGACTCATGTGGGAACATAGTAATTCATATGATTATTGGATTCTTTTCAAATAAGTTTTGTAGACCATCACTACCAGATAACAGAATACTAGAAAGTAATTATAGAAACTATCTGGTACTGAAAAAAGAACAGAGAACTAGATCAATGAAAAAAAATAGAAAACCCAGAAATAATATCCAGTGGGTCTAAAAGATTAGTGTTTGATAAATCCACACTCCAAAAAATACTTACTACTTCAACAAAAACTAGATATGAATTGTAAATAAGTCAACAATCTTAAGTTTTTAAAAATTTTAAACTGAAAGAAGAGAATTACATTATTTAGCTCTGAAGGACATTTTTATCAGCAAAGTAGAGGAAATCATTAGACAGAATCACTAGATTTGAATATACATAAAAGAATTTTATATAGCATCTCAAATTAGAAGAAAAGCAGATTGGGGAAAAAAATTTGTGAAATAAATGCCAGATAAAGTTCTAGCATTCAGAATCTATAAGGCACTGACGTCTATCTCTACACCCTTCTCAATAGTGTAATGGTCTAAAGACATGAACAATTTACGGAAAAGGAGATATAAACTTAATAAACACATGAAAATATGATTAAATTTCTTAATAATAAAATGCAAATCAAGACATCCACAAGATAGCACCTTAACCTACTGGACTAGCACTCTCTTTCTCTCTCTCTCTCTCTCTCTCACACACACACACACACACACAATCCAGTGTCAGGGCCATGGGGCAATAGGCTCTCTAATAATACCGAGTTGGTGGGACTACAAAACATTTTGGACAGTGTGAAAACAGGCAGTGATTTACCAAACTGATCATACCTTTAGACCCCTCATTCCATTACTGGATCTCTATTCCAAAAACATCATATTACAACAAGAAAAAAAGAACCCTGTTTGCACAAAATAATTTCACAACTGTTCTACATATCATAGCAAAAGATTGGAAACAACCCCTATGTCAAACAGTTAGAGGCTTGCTGAATAAGTTACGGTGTCTTGTGGTACCATAGAAAGCAATGAGTATGAAGTATACAATGAAATCTGGAAGGAGCTACATGAGGTGATATTGAGTGAAATTAAAAGAATCAGAACTAGACACTACAACGCAAAACTTCTGGTAGGCCTGGAAGGGGACTTAAAACAAAAGCTTTTTTTTTTTTTTCTTGTTTCCTCTTTGCTAACTCTTAGTGCAGAATGATACAGGAGAAAGTGCACTAACTCTTGATTGAGAGAACCTGGATTCAAATCCTACCTTCAGTGCTTATTAACTCTGGAACCTTGAGCAATTCACTTACTCTCCCTGGGCCTCAGTTTCTTCAGCTGTTATTTGAAGGGATTAGCCTCTGAGTTCACTTCTACCTGAAGACACATACCATTGAACTTGTTTGATTCTCCCATGTGAAAGTCTAGGGGTTCAGGGTAAAATTTTGTCTCTTGTTTTTTAACTGTTAAATTGTGTGTTTTTCCTCAAGTGATTATTAAGTTTGTCTACTTAAAAATTAAGTGAAGAACAAATAACATTCATATATAAACTTAGCCTTTTTCTTGAGGAAAATAAGCTCAGAATTAACTGGGCACTGAAGATGAAGTCATGACCCACTTTGGTGATAGTTCTGAATTAGGAGTATTTCACAATTGCCTTGGATTATATTCTATGTGACTATAACATAAACAGAGAGATTATCACTGTGATCACCTAACTTAATCACCTAACACAGGATTTAAGATTCAGAGTGAGTATGAGGTGGGTGGGGAGTCCTGTTTGGAGCATTTCACTTTGTTAGTGTCTTAGGCCTCCACCTTCATTCTCTGCACCCTAGGAGCAAGATCTTGAGGTCAGCAAGATAAGTATTCTATCATAGCCAGGATGAGATGCTAGGAGGCAGTCTCCTATACATTGCTTCAGGTGTACTAAACCCCAAATTTTGACACATCATATGTGGTCAACTTAGATTCTCCCACATGGCTCTGTCCCATAAGTCTCTAGGGGGCTGAATATTCTCCTGGAACAGGAAGAAAGGATAGTTGTTAATGCACAACCACATCTTGTTTCTGGGATCTTAGATTGTTGGTGTTTGCACAGAAGAGCTACATGCGGCCCAACAATGGAATGGGCAGGGCATCCTTGAGCTTCTTCGAACAGTCCCTGTGTAAGTATTACGGTACCTTTGCTACGCACCTTTATTTCCCTGCCATTAATATCTAGATTTAGTTCCCTCAAGCACTGGAATGGTTGTGATGGTAAAGCAAAGGCCAAATAAGGAAGGCCCCTGATTTCCTGGAGGTAGAGGCTCATCATTAGTGTAGTACCTCTTTTAAGAAGGTACCCTCCAGTTTTCAGATGAAGAAATTAAAGCTATCTGTAGTCATAGGAAAAAATGCTGTAAGTCACTATTGATTAGAGAAATGCAAATCAAAACAACTCTGAGATACCACCACACACCTATTGGCTAACATGACAAAATAGGAAAGTAATAAATGTTGAAGAAGATGTGGGAAAATTGGAACGTTAATGCATTGTTATCTAACCATTTTGGAGAGCAATTTGTAACTATGCCCAAAGAACTATAAAAATGTGCATACCCTTTGACCCAGCAATAGCACTGCTAGGACTGCAAAGAGATCATAAAAATGGGAAAAGGACCCACATGTACAAAAATATTTAAAGCAGTTCTTTCTGTGGTGGCAGAGAATTGGAAATTGAAGGGATGTCCATCAATTGGGAAGTGGCTGAACAAGTTGTGGTAGATGAATGTAATGGAATACTATTCTGCTATAAGAAATGATGAGCAAGCAGACTTCAGAAAAACCTGGAAAGACTTGTATGGATGGATGCTGAGTGAAGTGAGCAGAACCAGGAGAACATTGTACACAATAACAGCCACATTGTATGATGACTAACTTTGATAGACTTACCTCTTCTCAGCAGTGCCAGGGACCAAGATATCTCCTAAAGTCTCATCATGGAAAATGCTGTCCACATCCAGAGAAAGAACTATGGAGTTGGAATGCAGATGGAAGCATACTATTTGCTCTTTTTCTTTTTTTCTTCTATTTTATTTTGTTTCTTGTGGTTCCTCCTATTGGTTTTAATTCTTCTTTGCAACATGACTAATGTGAAAATATGTTTAATAGGAATGTATATGTAGAGCCTGTATCAGATTGCATGCTATCTTGCAGAGGGAAGGGGAGAAAATTTAAAACTCAAAAGCTTATGGAAGTGAATGTTGAAAACTAAAAATAAATAATAAGAAAAAAATAGAAGCTATGCCCTTTCTCCCTTTTTGGAGTTTCTTCTGGCATTATCAACTAATCATCAGTCAGCATTTATTAAGTGCTTACTGTGTGCCAGTAACAATCCCTGCCCTAAAGGAGGTTACCTTCTAATTAGGTATGAGGGTGAAGTGGTGAGAACAATGTGTGTGTGTGTGTGTGTGTGTGTGTGTGTGTGTGTGTGTGTGTGT